CCCCAAAACCCCAAAACCCCAAAACCCCAAAACCCCAAAACCCCGCTATTCAATTAATTGGTAAAAAAGTGAAATAGATTATTCAAGTATTTTAAGCAATTATGTATTTTGGATGATAATATTTAAAAGTAATTAGATAAAGTTCGCACAAAATGGACCTAGTGGTAATCATTTTATTTAACAAACTAATGTAACTTCTTTCAGAACGATCCACTTCATCTTAAAGCTTATGGCACAAAAAATGACTACTCTTAAAAGCAAGTGCATTACCCTCAAAACAAAGATGGTAAGTTTAAACAAACGTTTATGAGTTATCATAGGGGTTGTTGATGAGTGGAAAGCTCTGATAGATTAAAGACTGCGCAAACATGAATATGATCAGAAAATAATGGCAGGCGTTAAGAAAGTAGAATAAAATTCTTATAAAAATGAGCTTGATGTTTTGAAGAGCACTCACGATCAATAAAAATATATTGAGAGGATAGGCAAGCAGCATGAACTTAATGACAACCAGGAAAGAATGAAAGTTCTCCAGGAGTACAATCAGCTCAAGAAAAATGAAGATAATGAGTTAAAAAACTACCTCTCATCAACCAATAAATAAATACTTTAGGATTCAAACCAAAGAAAGCATGATGAAGTGACTAAGAATCTTTATGACGATTTGGAGCGATTGAAGAGGCTAAAAATCTCTAATGAGGAAGAATAGATAAGAAAGCAGATGGAAAAGCAGGAATATATTGAGACCTAGAATAAGTTCATTGAGTATAGAAATAAACTGAAAGAGAATGAGAAGTTAGATATTAAACAAAAGCATGTAGAATACATCAGATAATGCGAAGAAAACGGAAGACTTTAGGATTAAAAAGATAAAATGTACAAGTAGTTCTTTGCAAACTTTGAAAGCAATCTTAATTAAAGAGCAAAAATGTACTTAGATAAAATTCTAGAAGAGGAGATAAAAAAGGACATGATGATGAGGAATTGGGAATCAAATGGAAATGATCCGGTATTCAGACAAATGAGTGAGGAAAGAATCAGATAAGAGGTGGAAAATAGACTAAAGGATGCATCAGAGATAAAAGAATTCAATAAATTCATGATAGAACAACATGGAAGGGACAAAGAACGCTAACATGAGATATAAAAAATAGAGCTAGAAGTCAGGAAGAGAAAAGAAGAGGATATGAAAATCGATGATGAGAGAAAGAGACAAGAGGATAAGTAGAATCAAAAGATGTATGGAAACACGCTGAGTTTTCAAAATGATATTCATAGAAAGCTAAAGAACAACTATGGTAGTATGACTGAATAAGAAAAGAAGATGAACAAGTTAGACCTGAAATCCTATAAACAAGGAGAAAACACTCTCCACTCAATGATTCCAGGTATCAGTAATATTCAATCAGTTGGCTCTTCCCCACTAATGAGGAAAGGCGTAAATCTTTAATTGTCTTCGCCAATAACTGTTTCAACTGCCTCTGGAGGTACAATGAATATCCTAAGTTAGTCTGTTTAAGGTAGCTAAACAATGGGAGAGCTGTTGAATTAAAGCATCAGCAGTGCAAGAGGGCTTACCAGTAATGCTCTTAATAGAAATGCATCATCAGGGGCTATTTTAAACATGAGCTAAAAAATGAGTTTATATGATAAGCATCCTGTTGTTGAGTCAATGCTTAATAAAAGTAAGAATTGCATAATTGAATCAATCTATAGGAGTAAATAATCATATTGATGCTGATCTTGAAGAAATGAGGAGAAGCTTTGAGCAAAAGAAACAAATAACTGTCGGCTATTACAACCCAATCACTAATCCTGTCCCTAATTATTCATCAAATCCTTACATTGCCAGAGAAAGAACTAAAGCCCATTATATGATGAATTCTTAATCAAAACCATTGCTGGCTTTGGCTGGAAATAATATTCTTATGTGAGAGACAATTTTATTTTTTAAGTTTATACACGGTAACTTAAATATAAATTTAACTTTAATTATTTGACCTACTATAGATCATTGTATTTTTTATTAAGGGGTTTTGGGGTTTTGGGG